ATGTTCTGCCGGCCGGTGCGGAAAGGCACAGTATTATTTAAACTGTAAGTACCCTAAACCTGCCAGTAGGTACCACTGATGGTACAGTACACATACTAGGTACCTATGTACTATCCACCGGCCCGCTGAGAATCACAGTGAATCACAGTCCTAGCATTGCACTAGACACTGTAGCCCCATCTCGGTAGACTTACGGATGGATTATGTAATAAATGTAGATCCGATCCGATCAATCGCGAATCATTGTCCAGCGGTGCGGAATACACAGCAAGGCAGCAAAAAAGAAACAAGAGTCTTCTCTATCTAACATACGACAAGACTCACTCGGAGTTGGCATCGACAACCCACCATGCATTTGTGAGCGACTTTCCAACCGCCGTCCTAACCGCAATCCCTACAGGAATCCAACTATAGTGAGTTGCACCCTTCATTCGTCTGGTCTAGTGTCGTCGTAATCATCCCACCCTTCTACACCGGGTGCTCAAGGTATATCTACACAACACAACACGTGCTCTCATCATCGGCGTCCGTATAGCATCGCCCCGAGTAGCGTGGGTCGTGAAACTTCCCTATCGGCAAGCTCCCCACCCCAAACCGAACACCACTAAAATGGAAGTCCGGGGATGGGGAGGGGCCGCGGCAATTGCCTCAAATGACTAGATGCGATATCATAAGCGTCTTGCCTAGCCCGAGACCTCCGTCGCCCTCGTTCTCATATTCATGCCCGTCCTCCTCACATTCACTTCCGATTTCAATTGATCTCACCCCCACCCCCCGTAAGCTGACATTTGACTTTTTTTGCCCGGCAAGGTTCATTTGTCGCACTCCGAACCCTTGCTTGCTGTCTTATATCTTTCCTTGCTTTGCCCTTTTTTTGTTGCCGGAGACTATCACCATATAACATCCCCTATACAACAGAGCTTTAACACTCAATGACGTTACAGTTAGAAGAATCAGCGCGTTTACCGAGGCGCACGGGAACAGAGGACCCCTCTCCGGCTCTCAGCCTCTCTTTCAACATTGGCGAGAACCGGCCCGTCTCGCCTTCACATTCTGTTGCATCATCTTCGTCGTCGCAAGACAGCATGGCCAGCGACTCAACTCGGACAACGGCCTCATCCTACCAGGTTGAGAATGCCTACTTCAGTTCTAACCCGCCTCCCAAAGCATTGCCCCAGCATATTGCCGCGGCGCAAGAGTTCATCAGTCAGCATGCCGCAGCAAACCGGCGTGTGGTGCTTATAACTTCGGGCGGGACCACCGTCCCGTTGGAGAAGAACACGGTGCGTTTCATCGACAACTTCAGTGCCGGTACACGTGGTGCTACGTCGGCGGAGTATTTCTTGGAGTCCGGGTATGCCGTTATATTCCTGCATCGCCAATTCAGTCTGCTGCCCTACAGTCGTCATTATAGCCACTCTACCGATTGCTTTCTAGATTTTCTACACGAGGCGGATGACGGTAGTGTTGTAGCCAACCCAGCTCATCAGCGAAAGATGCTACGGGTTCTGCGCAAATACAATACCGCCAAGCGCCAGAACCTACTTCTCATGCTCCCCTTCGTCACCATCACAGACTATCTACATGAGCTACGGGCAGTTGCGCAATTGATGCGCCCGCTGGGACCAAATGGGCTCTTATACCTCGCAGCTGCCGTAAGCGACTTCTTTGTCCCGCCGGAGCGCATGTCCGAGCACAAGATTCAAAGCACAAACGCAACAGATAAGTTGAACTCGAAGTCACAACAGGGGTCGGCGCCCGTCACAACAGAGAAGCGAGAGCAACAAGGAGAGAACGATGAACAAGAAGCATTCGATAATTTCGACTCGCCAGTAGTGCCGCGCAGCAAACGGCTAATCATAGACCTGGACCCGGTCCCTAAGTTCTTAAAGAACCTTGTTGATGGCTGGGCACCGGAAGGGATGATCGTATCCTTCAAACTCGAGACAGACCCGTCTATCCTTGTCCACAAGGCCAAGTACTCACTCACTCGATACCAACATCACCTCGTCATTGGCAATTTACTCACAACGCGCAAATGGGAGGTTGTGTTCGTCAGTCCCGGCCGCGAAGATCAATGGATCCGGGTTCCCATCGCCCGTCGGAAAAAGACGCTAAGTGGCAGTGGGGCCGAGGATCTAATCGGCGTCGCAGAACGGGAAGGGGGTGGGAGTGGCAAGATGTCTGAAGAAGATACATCCAATCAGCCGATGGACCCGGCTAGCCTTCCTGAGGGCGAGCCCGAGATGGAGATCGAAAGCCTCATTATTCCTGCGGTGGAAGCCTTACACGATGACCATGTTCGGTCAGTTATGGCGAAAACCCCCCGCGAGGGCTAAATAATTGGACTAAATAAAAAGGGCCGGAAGGGATTGGCTTTATAGGTATTGGAAGACGTGATCAAAACTCTTATGGGTGTGGACTTTAGGGTTTTTCCCCTAGGATACATCAACTATATCCTAATTACTTTGGAGCACTTTGTATTTGCTGCCATTACATGCTGGAAATGCTATACTGAACCGGTCTGGCTACCAATTTATCAGTATCAGCATAATATTGCTCTCAGTAGCTGAGGATGTGAGGCATCGTTTTCCGAAGAATTACGTACGGCTACCAGATAGGTGGCTAGTATGCAAAGCCCGGGGATAAGCGCTCGAGAAGAAGCCATGCCGAGGTACACTATGCTGGCATCGCATGTCCAGCCCAGCAATTGCTTTAGTAGCACAGCAACCCCGCTCTCTGATCGAATACCAACTCCACCGGAACCCTTGGCCCATGTGAAAGTTACATAGCTAGGTAGAAAGAAGATGTAGGTAGGCCGTCTTGATCCATTTCCTGACACCGACGAACGGCTGTCAATGTGTCTATTCCGATGGGTTTGGCGAGAATGCTAAAGGGAGAGCAGTGTAAGATAACGACCGGGACTCTGTCGTTGTGACAGGCCGACCGTTAGCGGGGCACCGGTGACCCGGTGGAAACCTTGCTGGCTGGGTGTTAGAAAAGAGGAGTAGTTAGCCAGAGGCTATCATACCTTCATGAAACAGCGTGTAAGTCGCAGTCGGAGGGCCCCGGTCGGAATACCATAAGGGTCCATTTCTAGGACGAGCATAGTATAGATTGAGGGATGAACGCACTGTACCCGTAACCCGGCGTGCTATATCCTTTTGCTACGAAGTCCGGAGACGAAAGTTTCTGGACGGCCCTCCATCGTAACATACCGGGTGCCCTGTATCACCTATTATTACTAACATCCTAGACCTCGGGTCGAGATCCCCTCTTATTAATGCTGTTGTCGGTCTCCACCTACAACTTCCCTCCTTTTCTGTGTAGATACCTAGCCCTCCGTAGGACTACGGAGGTCCCCCCTTAAAGGCGCACCTATACACTAACCATACTCTCAATTGATGACCATTGTGGCCGAAATACTCAGCTCTTCGTGCGACTGCCGTCAATAAGCACATCAAGATGGAGGCGAGCGGGAAAATACCATCCCAGGGGTTTGCGCCAATGAAGTTACCGGCCGGCATCACGGAAGACTACATTGACTGCCGAGAATCGTGCGGCCTCACCTGGCACGTTTTAAAAGCCGGGGAACCGGGGAAGCCGCTGGTGCTGTTCTGCCACGGGTACCCGGAGCTGGCCTATTCGTGGCGGCGAGTGCTGCCGCGGATCGCCGATGCCGGGTACTACTGCGTCGCCATGGACCAGCGCGGGTATGGCCGCACAACGGGCTGGTCTCAACGGCCGTTCCATGAAGTCGAGTTGAATGAGTACGTGTTCACGAACCTAATACGCGATCTAGTCTGCCTGGTATACAGGCTCGGGTACACGGAGGTCTTCAGTGTTATAGGGCATGACTTCGGAGGGGTTACCTCGGCAATGGCGGCCCTCATGCGTCCTGATATTTTCAAGTCGACTATCCAGATGTCTCATCCTCACCACGCGTCCGCCGCGCCGCAGCTCGGAAACCAACCCGTCAAGCCGAAGGTTGATATTCAGGCGGAGCTGGCAAAGCTGAACCCGCCGCGCAAGCATTACAAGTGGTATAATTCAACACCCGAAGCGGGGCCGGAATGGGATAATCCACCGCAGGGATTAGAGAAGTTTCTGCGTGGTTACTTCCACCTAAAGTCTGCGGACTGGACGAAGAACGATCCGCGTGCTCTCCAGGAATGGAATGCGGAAGCGATCGCCGTCATGCCTGAGTATTATATCATGCAGAAAGACCATTCGATGCCGGATGCAGTCGCCCATAACATGGACGGCGAGGACTACAGCAAAACTGAACGGTGGCTGTCTCGAGACGAGCTCCAGGTGTACTGCGAGGAATGGAGGCGCACTGGATTCCAGGGTGGGTTGAACTGGTACTGTGCACAAACGGCCAAGACGCAGCAGGCGGCTCGGGACATGCTTCTTTATGCGGGCAGGAGAATTGAAGTTCCGTGTGCGTTTGTGGGCGGGAAACAGGACTGGGGTCACTTCCAGCAACCAGGTGCTCTGGACAGCTATGAGGATCCAAAGACTGTCAAGCCGGGGTGTTTCAGGGGCGTGACGATGATTGACGGCGCTGGACACTGGATACAACAAGAGCAGCCCGAGGCCGTGTGTCAGGCGCTTCTTACTTTCTTCGGGACTCTATAGATAACCTTGAGATGCGTCTGGTGGTAGATAAATACAGATCTGGCGGCAGTTCTTATCCGGGAAGCAGACATTGGGTAGGCAAAGGTCCGATAAGGGACAAGAAAGCAAGGCCAATAACGAATCTGTTTGCTATACGCTTCCACGTGCCTTTTCGTCCGAACAAAGCGGGAAAGCTCCGGCAGTTAACCTCCGTGTTCTCGAGAGCCAATCAGAGTCGTTCTCTTGCGCCTCGAGTGTGTTTGCGCCGTTCACCGTATCATATATATAACAATAGCAACCGCATTCTCCTAACAGCCGTACTAGAGAAATGGGTAAGCTCAGCACTCCGTGGTCGAGTCGGTATCGACGACGATAACTAATTCGTTCTCTGTAGTTAACTCGTCGGCCTCCTAAGCCGAAGATTCTCGGTTCGAGTCCGAGGTGCGGTGTCCTCTTTTTTTCTTTTCTTTCTATCCTTACTCCACAACCGCAGTTCCTTCTAGTGTGCATCCTTTCTACCCCCTTTTCCCTTAACTTGAGGGCCCCCAAAGTACTTTATAAACGTAATAAATAAATAAAAACCGTAGTTTATCGTTAATAATGCCTTTTTTTTGTAATGTCTCTGTCGATCCTGCAAACATCCCATCATCAGCCTTAACCCACTCCATGCGCTTACCATATATGCTATCTTCTCTCCCGTTACGAACCCAACTCCCACCCCCTTTTCCAGTTCTGACGATAATTATAACCGCAATGTCATACTTTCACCCCTATCATACCACACCCTGTCCATTGCGTTTCCATATGTTATGGAAGAAGCAGCATCCGTGACACCCTCAGGTCTACACCCTCAGGTCTACACCCTGTCCTCCAGCCAGACTCTTTCCCCCTTCCATAGTCTTTCCGGCGTGTCTGCTTAATATGCCTATTAGAGAAAGAGACCCATTTCAGCCTTTTCCGCACAGAAATAATACGGCAATAAGTCATTCTACTTCTCGTGCATAAACGACAGCCGCCGGACTTACACACTCACCGCATCTCACTCGGATATAGAATAATCCCGGACTCACCTTCCGCATTCGACGAGTGAACGAGGACCTATTTTGCGTGAACAGCGTCAAAGGGTAGCTTCAACGCGTCTCGAACTGACAATGATAGTTGGCCGCCCTGTGCTGCCTGCGTAGCTCACGTGCGGATTCAACGACAGCCGCGTGAACGTCGGTCACTATCATGACCCCCCTCCGGACGCAATACTAAGTGTGATGTTTCTCGGCGTGCACCACACATCTGGGCTGCGCATATTTATCCGGTTCGGTGATGTATGCCGGGTTTACTGCTGCCGTCCACGGCTGCGTACGTGGCAAACATAGTCGCGTTATAGCTCTTGATTGTCCATGCCATCTAGACCCAAGCGGCGCGGAGATAAAGCCAAGTACTGTATCAACGGCGAAAGCTTAGTTCGAGCTAGGTAGGATACCGGAGAATGGCATCGTAATATCAAAGGGGGTGTGGGTATGATAGTTCTCATACCTACCAGAGAATGGCATCCCACGCTACATGCCCCTGCTATGGAGGCTCAAGTACGGAGATGATAGCCGACGAGAATCGGGTTGAATTGTCGATTTACCTATGCATTCGCAGCTCGGCGATCGCACATGCTGAGTACGTCATAATCTGATGCTCTACCGGCAGAAAAAGACGCGTTGGCTCGTGAATATGCTATTATGGAGCAAGAGAGGTAAGAAAGTGGACGTCGGGTCGGGGATGTTGTAGGTACCTAGGTGCGCTATCCGCCTGTGTTTATAGTGGGTAATAGCAGTGCCTACGCCTACAGCTCACTATAATTCATGGCCAGCAGTCGGTCATCTCGCCGAGGCTTCGGAGCCGACACTTCACTGTGTCCGATTTCTCAACGCCCTTATCACGTACCGTACGGAGTCCAAGTCCGGAAAGGTCTCCTTTCACAGCGTCAGTACCCAGGGAACGACTTCTCCTTCGGGTAGACACTCCTCGATAATGTCTACTCAGTAGGTCCGGTCCGTAGTTGCTCCAAATAGGCGATTGGACCGGCATCAACCAGTTCAATTTCCTGTATCGGTCAACCCAAATTCTATAATGATCCTAACTTTCAGCGGCGGCAGCAGCATGTATAGTGACTTCATCGTCACAAGCTGCGTTCTGCTTGAAGCCGATTGCCACCACTGACTGATTACAGCTGATCTCGTTCCTTGACGTGATCCGTCCGAAAATCAAGACCGGAATCCTGCCGTACAATCCCATACAGAGACGAGGAGTCGAGTGGACAGTGTCCATTCTCATCTGAGTACGCCTTAGCCCTCCTCAGATGCTCAAGCGCAGTGTTGGCAACCTTCAAGTTTACACCGACCTGCCTCGCGCTATCCACACCGTGCCCAACGTCTTTGAGCGCGAGTTTGAGATCCGACCATGGTGCTTCTCCTTCACCCGGCATGTAGACGCCCGTCGTCATCCGAATCGAGTTGGAGTGTGCAACCGTGCCGAAGTTAAGCTCCAGAAGCTTCTCTAGTACGCCGGGGTCAAGACCCGTCTTCTCCGCAAACACGTGCGCTTCCGCAATGATCTCCATGAGGCCAGCCACCATGGAGTTTCTACCGCCCGTCATGTCAGTGCAATAGTCCCTTCGTGCTCGCCAAAATATGACGCGGCGACGCAACTATGTTAATAACTCACCCTGCTGCTTTCAATAACATCGCCTTTTCCGGTTCTTCTCCCACTTGAAGAACTTCCCTAGCGATGGCGTTGCCCAACAATGGTGCAATCTTCTCGTACACGTGTCGCGGCCCAGCGAATGCGACGAGAAGTCTGCCTTGCTCCGCGACAGGCGTTGCGCCAAAGACGGGTGCCGCTGCGAAGTACGTGCCGTGTGCCCTCAGCTCCTCTGAAATCTCCCTCGTCGTGCTGGGGTGGATCGTCGTGGTGTCCACAACGACCTTGCCGCCTAGCCCGGGTCCGGATGAGATGATCTGCTCAACAATCGACCTGACGGCCGTGTCATCACTTGCTGAGATGAATATGATATCGCTCTCCTCGGCCAGAGCTACTACGGAAGCACAACGCTTGCCGCCAAGAGCTTCCAGGGCGTCACCGCGAGAGGCGGTGCGGTTATAGAAGCGGAGTGGTAAGGCGGCATGTGATTGCAAATATTTGTGGACATTCTTTGCCATCGCGTTACCCATGGCCCCCAGGCCAATCCATCCAAAGCGAAGTGGGATTTGTGAATCAGATGCGGTGGCAGCCATGATGAGTGACGGGCTCGAGACTGTTAGTATTGTAATCAGTTTCGATTCAGAAGCGGCCTGGCTTGGTATTATGAATGATCTTATTTGGGGTCTTGGCCGCTTTCGCTCCACATCAGTTAGTCGCTGGCGGCGCCAATCACTTTAACTACACTGATCCGGCGCCGCGGCCAGAGTATTCGGTAATCAACAACATTATTGTTTGTATATTACCCCAAACCGTTGCGCATATGTACCGAAATTCATATCGCACGCGCCTACACGAAGAAGATTAATTTACAAACCTAGCTTAATCCTCGCTTGGACCGTCTAAACCAATCACCCCTGATGTTAATATCCCCATGACACCCCTGGAACATCTCTTCGCGAGGGTTAACCGCTCTCTCCCGCGACCGCAGCGATTTATTCTTTTGCCTTCCACGCTGCTTCGAGCCACCTGGACTCCCCTCCACACCAGCACGAGACAAGCGTATCGAGGGGGATTGCGAATGATCTGACGCCCAATCACCACTCAGCTCCGCAACGCGCAATGAGTGAGGCGAACGCGGTCGATTGCGGTCATCTCTAGGGGTTAGCCCGCTCGGAGACCCAAATTGTCCCGGGGAGGATTTATTTCGACTTGCGGATTGCCGCCAATAACTTTTGACCTCCGGACATCGTCGGCCGCGGCTCGCATTCCGTGAGTCGCTATCGCTGGTATTCGTGGTCGTGTCGTGAACAGACCGCTCGAGCTCCCGATGTTTTCGTAAAGGATAGATTTTCACCACCCGGGGCGCCAAACCGTTGTTGCTCATCTGCCCTGTCGATACCCCGCCGGGGGCAGAGTCACCTGTCAGCTTTGTTAACCCCTGGTCGTCTAGGCTTTGCGGAATAGGTGGCTCTGGGAGTACCGGTAGATCGTGATTCCCGGTGGGAGCGTGCGGCGGTGAATCGGACTGTTCGTCGGCAGAATTAGACCCAGATGTGTCAGAAGCACGTCTATCATCGTCAAAGAGCTGCTCATGGCCCCAGACTGTCTGGTTCTCCACGGGCAAGGGCGAGATAAGTTCCTTTCGAGACGGTCGCTCGGGGGAGACAGGCGGTTTGGCGTCTGAGGCCTCGAATTGCGCAGAATCGGCTTGATTACCATGTCCTTGCGATAATCCATGCCCGTTGGGTTTCGAGCCGAGGTCTTGCGACCCTGTCACGTTCTCAACGGGTCCCTGACAGAATTGGCGGTGTTCTCGTCCAGGTGAATCTGAAACTCCTGTTTGATTGTGTCCCATTTGATCCGGTGGCTTATTATTTTGCCTCGTGGTTCCCTTTTCAGATGTAGATGGTAATCCAGGGGGCTGCAAATTAGGCTGTGAGTCTTGAGAGCCCGAGTTAGCAGGGGAACAAAATAAATTTGGAGCATTGTTTATATACCAACAGTATAGATCCCCCCCTGAATTGGTGAGTTATCCATTTTTGGTGCTACTTCTGGTTCTTCTGTCTGTTCTAACGGCATGTCGTGTTCAGAGCCGCGGGACAGGTCTCTGGCGGATTGGGCAGGCTGGGATTTTGCTGGTGTTTCATTTGATACCTCTCTACCTTGGTTATTGACTTGTTCTGGCGCACGTTTCTCCCCAGGCAATGATTTTCTGTTTTCGAACGTATTATTTTCCTTCGTCATCTCTCTCGTTTTCATAAACTCCGCCGCATTACCACCTCGTGCTGTCACGGGTTCCATACTCGTCAGTAGAGTGCCCGGCATCTCACTGCATGTAAATTGATGAAGTATTTACGCACTATCACGCCCATTTCCATTCTGTACTGGCCGAGCCGAACTAGGCTCTTCGAGTTCTTGCTTGCCCTTTGATTCATTAGACACGTCATTCTTCGGAGCGGCGGACGGTGTCGGCACATCCCCGGCGGGTTTTTTTGCTGCCTGTAGATTGCGGCTGGACCTGACTTGGGATGGCAGCTCACCGTCTTTTTTTGCATCCGGGGCCTTTGCCGGCGAGTCTGCAGGACAAGGTGGTTGACGCTTCGGAGATGTGTCGGGCCCATGGTCCGTGTTGGGGGTAGAGTCATCACCTTTTGAACCGGCAGATGTAGAGCCACCGGTCGTATCATCTTTCGCAGGCTCGCTTGGCTTCTGCTTTGATCTGTGCCTTTTCCGCGCGGGAGGTGGTATAGGCTGTTGCAATTGC